AAAGCAGCAGGACTTTCAGAAAGTCCCACCTCTGAGTTAAAGTTTGCCTGATCACTGATTTCCTTCAGCACTTCTTGTGCAGGTGTTCCTGAGGGATGTCCCTTGCTATTTCGTCTTTGCTTCATGGATTTGTTTTCTGGGAAAGGCAGTTGTGTGATGTCTGAACCTTCCCTTGGAGTTTCAGTTGGAATTTCTGACAGACACTTGGGTTTCAGTGACACACGCCGGCGGGTGGTTGGAGTATCAGCATTCACAGGATTCATTCCAGAGGTTTCCTTGGAAGGAGACACGAAAAGAGACCGAGGGCTCTTCCTCCTGGGCCTTGGTGTGGACAGCACGTGTTTATCTGCTTCAGAAACCTTTGGTGTGTGAGTCATAGAGATGTGTATTTTCTCCCTAACTGAAGAATCCAATCGTTCTATGGAGCACTGCTGCAGTGAAAACAGGGAATTCTCACCATTCTCCTTGCTGGGAGTAACCTTGGCACCTTTAGATCTGCCTGGTGTACTCAGTTCCTCAGGATCCTGCAACTGACTCTGACTGGTATCTCTTGACACCTCCTGCGAAAGAGAATTTTGAAGACTTCTGGGAAAACTCCTCCTGGGAAAACTCCTCCTAGGAGCACTTCCTCCAGCTGCCAGCTGCTGAAACCCTGAGTGGTTGACTTCACTTCTTACAATTACACATTCTCCCGTATTTCCACTTCTGCCTCTTTCTTTTCCTTTATTCAAGCTGCCCAGATCACAACCTGGGGATGAAATCTGAGCGCTTGGCTCTGGCACAACACTCTCCCCACCTTCTCTTGCAGCTTGTTGGGAGTCATTTCCCTTCTGCAGAGATTTTTTCATTTGCATCTCACGTTTCAGCTTTTCATAGAGATTAGTAAAGGGAGACATCTCATTTTGCTTTTTAATAACTTGGTGCATTCTGTGTGAAGATTTGGGTGTTTTTGGTTTGACGGGTAAAGCCTTGGATACATTTTCCTCTGTGGTTTGTTTATTTTCATTGGCAATTTTTTCTTCGCATTCAGCATTATCTATAAAGGAAGCAAAGCAAAACAAAAAGCAGTACAGAAAGTGACTTAAAAATTGCAGAACTACAAATATAAGTTCCATAAATATAGATTAAAAATTCCTTCCATTCCTCTCCCAAGACAGTCGACAAGGGTCCACTCAAATGGAACACTTGGAAACAGCCTGGGCTTTTGAAACTGGAATATTTGTCATAAAAACCAAACCCGTCTGTAGATAAAAAGCCTTCCCCAAAAAACTTGGTATCTTTACAAAGTTATTTAAGACAAGAAGGATGGTAAGGTAAAGTCCTGGCATTTAATCCTTTCATGAGCTATAACTACCAGGCTTTGAAGCTCTAAATTTTCCCGGTTCTACATGAAGCAGTTACTGTAAACAACTACTTCAATATGCATCTCCAAAATTATACTTATTTCAACTTCTTATTAGGAAAGAATACTTGCTGAAAAGAGATCTAGCAGAGAACTGCAAGGTAAATTTTAATCAAAAAGGTGAATTTGCCACACATTAAGTGTTTGCTGCCTCTGCAAAGTAAAATGTAACAGGTAATTGTTTCAAATACCAGTTTTAACTCACATTTGTATTGCAGTTGGAAAGCTGGTGAACTGACTTTCCTTTCCAAACTGAATATGCATAAATCACTGAAAGCAATATCTATGAATTTTGCCTATGCCAGGTTGTTTCTGCCCATTTGTCAGGATGCAATTCAGTGATTTCTCCTGGCAGGATGTAAATTTGGGAAATTAGAGCATGTAGGTATAATGAGACAGCCACTGCCACAGCAAGGTGTTGTCAGATTCAAGAGTCTTAAAATGCCTTTTTTTCCTCTTTTCGACCTTGTTTTTCTTCTTATGCTAAGAATGAATGCAGTTAAGGGGACATAAGAAAACAAAACCCATAAAACAGGTACCAACCTGAAGCACCAAGACTTTTAGATCCTGAAGTTTGTTTGTGTAATAATTCCACTTCTGCCACCTGCTGAACATGAAGAACCTGTAAATTTGTACAATATTACAGCCCAGAAACAAGTATTTTACAGTTTAGCTTTCAACTGTACATTGAGAAACACTCTTTATAGAAGTATACACATTGTTTACTAAACAGGTTTAAAAGTATTCAAGTGAAATCCCAGAATATTTCAACATTTAAGAACATTGACCAATACGTTTGAGGTCCCACAGAGCAGAAATTTGTCTTGTTTTAGCATTATTGGCTCTAAAAGCAGCTGTAGCATAAGAATATAAACCAGTACATTTGAATCTCCCCTTCTTAACAGACTTAGTGGAAGATTTATAGCTCTGCTTGCATTAGTAACATCATAGATTATTAATTATCTATTAGCAAAAACTGACAAGCCTAAAATCACTAAATTTTTTTAAGTACTTATCTGAAGGAGTTTATTTGTAATTTCAGATAGAAAGGGCTGAAAAGTTACTCCTAATAAGAAAATAGAACAAAGAAATAAAATACTGCATCGCTACTAATACCAATGTACTTGTAACAAAAAAGTCCATGGCCACAAAATTACCTGCAGAGTTTCATCTTTTGGAGACCTGGAACGCCTCTTCTTCGGAGTTGATTGGAGAGGATATTCAAATCTGAAAGAAATATTTTAAAATACACCCAGTTTTCATCTAAGTGTTGATGACTAAATTCCCATTACTAAGATAAAAGAACGAGAAATAGTTGTCCCCTCCCAACAATACACAAGTCACTGTTAAAGGCTTTAACAACTTAAAAATACTGCTAAATTTATCCCTAAAGCTGACTACACTGGAAACAAAATCAAAACAATCTCTGAAGACAGTTTTATCTTTATTGATTTAGCTTAACATAAGTGATAAAAACCCCAGAATCTTCAAGCAATCCTGTCTTCTGACAAAAGTCTGTAAGACTTTGTAAAGAAATATGAAATGAACTACATCAAGTTACATTCTTGGATTAAGTAATAAACAAGTAAAGAAATATGAAATCAAGTGTAAAGAAATATGAAATAAATAAACTACATGAAGTTGCATTCTTGGATGAATTAATGAACAGTTTGGCCCTGGCACCCACCTGAAAGAACGATCGATAATAGTTAAGACATCCCCGTGCTTCAGAGGAACAGGCTGCTCAAAGCAAACCCCATTCAGCTGTGTGGGGTTTACTGCGCTCAAATTAGTCAGTACTGCCTGAAAATAGAACAAATATTTCAGTGGCCTGCTGAGATGCAACAAGGCAATGCTTATTCCATGAAAACATGCAGATCTTACCTCCTTGTTCTCATTTATTTCGATTTTACAGTGCTCGTTGGAGACCCAGGGCAGTCGCATGCGGATGTCACACTCTGTTTTCCTGGGGGGAAATACAGTTTGAGTTTCACACGAGACGCAGAAAAATCTGCTCTAAAATTAGGGGATTTCCCAATATTTTAGTTAATAATTGTACAGAAGCACTATTTCTAACACTGGAAGAAAATTAACTACCTAAAATGCTAGAAGTGTGGCAAAAAATAGCAGCTCACGCTTCAGAGAATCTGTGTCAGAAACAATACGTGAAATATCCAAACTCTCCAAAAAACAGATCACGACAAGCAGAGACACGACTACAACAGACAGCTGGTGGTTTGAGATTGTTTCCCAAGTTTCCCCAAGACTTGTGGAATATTTCTATACAATATCAGCACACGCTTTTAAGCTCTGTTTTAGCCCTTTGATACTGACCTGAGAACAGGTAGTTGGACCTTTGGCCTCACCTGGATAAGCACTTTTACCTTCTTAAAAGTTGTGAGGGAAGGAAAACATGTTTCTAAGTGTACAGAGTTTCCTTGTCTTTCCTTTTTTTAAGCTAATCTCTATAGCTTTTGATGTGCTGTAGGTCTTAGGGAGGAAACATAACCTACTGTGCACAATACCTGGTGAAATTAGTGTACCTGGGGAAATTTGTACCTGCCTGAAATTAGTGTTTGCACCATTAATTATCACCTGTCTGGGCAGCTCTGATCCAGCCAAAAAACAATATAATTGATGCTGCAGTGCTTCTCACAGACTTTCACCATGGGATGTGATTCTGGACTGAATAATTACAATTATTTAAGGTAATATAATCAGTCAGTAAAGCACTGAACAGGCCTATTTGGATATATTAATTTTATCTTTCAATGTAAAACGTGGATCAAGCTCAAAACCCACTATCACTCAAGTGAGTATGTCAAAGTTAGTTTCAAGCCTGGAGGAGGAGGTATAAATTTTTAATATTAATTCTAGTTTTGGTTGACATCTTCCATTAGTGAGGTTCTAAGGTACAAAAAAATAAATAAAAATTTATTTTCACTTGTCAATTATCTGGAAACTGCCTCTAGGTAAGACAATCTCATCACCTGTTTATCAACTGTGGATTCTTTTTAATCCCTTCCCCAGATTTCCTTCGGCCAGAAACTTAAAATAAATAAATAGATGGATAGATAGATAGATAAAAGTAGTTCTGGCAAGGAAAGGACAAAAAGCAATAACAAAAAAAGAAGTTCAACTTTCTGGTCCTACAATTAATTAGTCCAGGATCACCTTCCCTCCCTCCCCTGTGCATCATTCACAAATAAACATTTATTTTTGCAAATAAGTATTAAAAGATCTAATCTGCAGGAAAACATCACTCATTATTTCGATGTGTGCAAGTGCTCAACAAATTCTCACCTTCCAAATAAACAAGAAGTCGAGGTGAGTGGAAAAACAATTCCATCAGTCCCATTCCTTTTAATGACAATAATTTTCCCGTAGCGCGGCATCTTGGAACGTAGGGAACCTTACCTGGAAAAGAACATCCAGATTATTCATGCCAATAACGTTTTATGAGAGTAAATTGATGTACATTTTTATATGTTACTTTTGTTCGACAGACTCCAACAGACAAAATAACCTCAGTGCTGTTTCCATGTGTCTCCCTGTGCAGGAAACTGGAAATATGTTTATGTAAAATCAGACTATTTTACTTATTTAAGAAGTATTTGCTAACCACCAGAGCCTTTGAAGCAGAAGAAGGAGGAATGGATTTTAACTGATTTAAACCCACTTGCACAACCAGATACACTTTTTATATACTTTCATGTAACCTGCGTTATTTCATGTATAGATATGAGAGTGTCACGAAGCACAAGCGGTCCTCAAAGGAGCCTGTATAAAAATATTCTATATTGAAAGCAGCAAGGGATTTAACGCAGCTAAGAGAGACCCTTCCAGAATTTTTTGCTCGGATAAAACACTTGTTGACAGCAAGCCCCAGGTTGGGGAGAGCCTGACAGTGCCCTC